GGGGGGGGAATGTATGTACATGGATATATTAATGGATACCCCTTGAAAATGTTGAAGTCAGATTGGTAGTCACCCTGACGATTTGTGGTTGATCTTGATTTTTTTTCACTAGATCCCGATGTTTTTGCCCTGAAATTATGATTTTAGATTTCATAGAGTGGCAGGTCTGTGTTATTTTGGAATAGTTTTCCTATGAAGAGGCTTTCACTCAATAACTTGCAATGCTCTTCTTCTGGTGAACTGACAAAGACGGTTGAGATGTGAGAAATAGAAATTTGTGTGAGAGGTAGACAGCAGTCTCTGAGGGCTGCCAAATGAGCCAAGTGTTGTGAATTTCTCTGGACAATCCTTTATTGAGAGCTTGTGTCCCTTTTTTCCCTCCTTCCTTGTTGTACCACAAGGTCAAGATTCTTTGAATTTTATTATTATAATATTCTGCAACAATTGAAAAAAAAATTTCCTTAGGTCAGCCCTTGTTTTGTTTCTGGGTCACACTTTAATCCTTGTGATGGAATCAACTGCTACTTGAAAACAAGCATGGTTTTTGAACTTGGGAAATTCAAAGTGTAGTTTGTTGTTGTTAATAATGATGCGTTAATCTGTGATCTGTTGACTGTGGCCCAAAAGCAAATATCGTTCTCTTCTTGGGATTGTTGACAGTGATATACTGATAAGTTAACCTGTGCTTGTATCTGTGAATCTTTTAAAACTTAATGTACTGATTTACCGTATATATATATTAAATATTACATTTTTTTGTCCCATACTCCTAGTAGACTTATTATTTTGCCATATTTATACTTAATAATGAGGTACCTGTTTATGTTTATTTCAGACAGTGCACATGATGGCTACGTTTTACTAGTTCCTTTCAACAAAGCTGCAGAGTCATTAACAAAGTTTTACAAAGGTGAAGCCTGGAAACTTAAGTTTGTTTGTGTATTACACGTCTCTTATGGTTTCTTTTGTTAGTAGCTACTTATATGAAGTGTATCTTTTATTACCTGTACATCTGGACCTAGATTAGCTTTAATTTAAAAAAAAAATGAATTCAATTGTTTTCCCCTCCCGATTTGGCTTTGTACTTTTCCAGTGAGATTTTAATCATTGTAAACAACGGAGAGCTTTGTATGTGAAATATTAATTGAATGTAGTCTTGACTTTTTTTTCTTATTTTGTTAAACTCAAGATTTACCCTGGTCAGCTAATTTGGGCTGCTACACTTAACAAGTGTTTTCATATAAAGCTTTTTGGTAAACGCAAAGTCATATGTTTTAAGGCGTGACACTGCTGCAAGGCTTTGACTTGTTTTCTGTTCTTATGAACATATGTTATGAAGGGGACATTTTTGTGAAATTATTATAGTTGCATTGTCTAGTGTTATTAGTTGTACTTACATTATATGGATTCTTTTTTTTTTTCTTTTTTAAGCTCTAAAATTATGGTGCTATTGGTTCTGTACTTGGCCAACACTTTGAAGTAAAGAATTTGGATGGGTTAAGAATTTTGTTTACCCTTACTGGAAAATGGTACCTCTCTCTGTGATGTTTTGAAAAGAAGTAAGGGCGAGTACCTGTCGTTCAAACAACGAATATTGTGTCGAATAGAGTGTCAGACTTTACATTTTTTTAAAAGAAGAAAAGGAAAAAAATCGCAACTTCTTTATTCTTTAGCAGAGTAGTGTGTAACAGTACAACGTAATGAAAGGGAATGGTGGTATTTGAACATAACTGTGTCAGTGATTATGAAATGGCTTACTATGAATGCTCCAGTTGTTGTACATTTCTATGAGCGGAGCACTGAGATTTGTAATTCTATTTTTAGTGGAAGAATGTTTACTTCCTTGTGTTTTCTGTGTCACTTACAGTGAACCCACTGACATTGCTCCTCCTTTTTGTTTTCAGATAGTCTTAACAATGCTCGTGAGTGCCTACGGCTTGGAGTTCAAAGTGGACGAAGCAGTCGAGCCAGGGACATCGCAGCTTGGGCTAGGAAGAAACGAAAAAGTATACGAAGAGATGAACTGTTGGCTTATTTGTGTGGCAAGAGCCTGCCTCCCCATCACAGAAACAGACAGAACCGTAGCTTAGAAAGACAGATTCCTAGATTCTCATCACACCAGGCGGAGAATTTAGAATCTGGGGATTACCCAGTCAGAGAGCCATTCTCATTGCAAGGTAAGAAGTCAATTAATCAATTGAAATGTGCTTATATTGATTTTTGGGCTTCTAGATCTAGCTTCTGTTTATTTTTAAAGAAAAATTGCATTGAAATTTAGCAGATAGAGGGTTAATATGCCTCTCTTTGGGTACTGGTTTTGTGTGGTTGGCCATTTCTGTTCCAGTAATGTTGTCATACTCCTAACTATTATTTCTTAAAAACAATCATTAAACATGTGTAAATTTTTAAATATTATGCTGATGGTAGGAGAATGCTGCTGGTAAATTCTTCCTTTCCCCCTTCTTCTCTGATTTCTATAGGTCTTCTTTTTATTCCTTCCTAAGTAATTAATAATGTCCTTCGTTTTCAGTGTTCTTAATAATCTACACACAGGTTGTGAAATCATCTTATATTGTGCTTATTTTTAACTAAGATTTGCTCAAAGATCTGCAAAATCCATTTATTTTACTCTGCTTTTAAAGACTAACGAATCACTTTTTGCATTGCCTTTTGATACGCTTCTTAAATGTTGTTCAGGACTGAATGGTGCAATGTCCAACATCAGCATGGGCTTGAGCCGGGCGAGCACTACGCCGACCACTACCACCAGCTCCACTATGAGTTCATGGCCCACAGATGAGTTCCGCTTTCATGACGACCGGGCCAGGGGAGAGCATCACCGGAAACGAACCAGTTCGTCTTCTGCCATGGATGTGAGCATGGAGTCCCCTTCCCGGAAGCGGGGACGATTTCTGTGATGCGATTTGATTGTTGTCCGTACCACAAAGTGGACCTTCGCAAAAAGACTTGTCACAGTAGTGTTGAACAGGAATGCTAAGACTGCATTGGAAGTTTGATGGCACGTTCCGTTTTTCTGATGTTCTTATATTTGTGATTATTATGGACCTTACAAATCCTGCCATTTCTCCCCCCCCCCCCCCCCCCCCCTCCCTGTCTGAGGAAAGTTAACCAAAACCATAATAAAAGTAAAAGACAAAAGTCTTGAGTCATGTTACATTTGAAGCCTGTTAAATTGGAAGTCTTACCTGTTTACAGTTTACAAGTTTATTTGTTGAAATTCCTTATTGTTGTGGGTGTTTTGGTTTGAATCTAATCTGTATACTGACCATTCATACCACCACCCCTGTATTGACCGGTTTTTTAATACCTCATATGTGGAACTTGGCAAAGCACAGTCTCCATTGTGTGTCCATCCGCATAACAAGTGATCGTTGGGCTTAGAGTGGCCCATAATACTGTTCCTTTATACTTCTCAAGTAGAATTTATATTACCTTCGTCTTTTGATCAATACTTTTGGTTGTTCCTGATTTTTGGAATGGCATACCATACTGATAACAGTAAAATGGCTTGCAGAAGCCTAGATATGTATAGCATGGTTCATTTCATTTGTGCCTCATTTTATATTCGTTTACAAGTTGTATTGCTGTTGCCATGCTAGCAAACAATTAATGTATGTTCTCTTGTTTGTATGAATTGCAAGCTGAATATGTCTCTTAGCTGCGATTGCTAGAAAAGTTAATAGAACTGTTGTAATTGGGAAATGGACCATTTAAGTCTGGGTTGTTAGAAAAACTGAACTAAATTAAGCTTTGAAATAAACATGTAGAAACATGATAGTACTAATCCTAAAGGTCTCACTGTATTGGGTCTTAACAGAGTATGAGTTTTGTTTAAAGGATATTTTAATTATTTTGGTAGATGTTGTTTTTTTTCGTTGTTGCTCTGATTCTGATTTTTCTGTTTTGTCTGACTCTATAGTTTTTTTGGGTTTTTTTTTACCCCCTTGGCGACACTTTGTTCTTCTTGCCTGATGGCGACACTTAAAACTGTAAAATGAAAATCTTGGTCTTGCAGAATGGTTGAAGCTCAGTTTTCCTTGTTTTGTGCTTTCAAATTGAAGAATACACATTTAGAACTTTAATAGGTATTTTACAAAGGGAAGGGGGAGAATGCAGGTTTCTGGGGATTATTGGAAGATTTTTCTTATTCATCAGTGGATTTATATTTCCAAAGTTGCCTGTAACTTTTTCTGAGAGAAAGAAAAGAATTTATTTTCACCTCTGATTTTCCACATTAATGTTCATATATTTCAGAGTATGTTTTTTGTGTGGTTAATTACTTCCTACGCGACTCGTGGCTGTGCACACCACCGAAGTGTGCTATAGAATTTGAACACCTATTTATTCATTGTGCTCTACGATTTGTAAAAAAAAATTTAAAAATCCAAAACCACTTTAAGATGAAAAGTATTAAGAAAGTTCAAAGGTAAAAAATTGAATAGGGACAGTTCAGTTTTATAGGATTATGATCTGATTTGATAGACCGAATGTGATTTTGATAATATGAAAGAAAGTTTTTTCATGAGTATTAATTGATATAGTCATATACTACTATTTGTGAAATGATGGTGTAAAGCTTTGTTTGACTAAATTATATGTTGAGAGTTGAATTTGAAGGCAAAAAGTTAGTACTGTCAGGAATTCTGAATCAATAGTCTGATATGGGGCTATTTCTCTACTCCTGAGGTAGTATCAGAGAATGATCTATCTGTGTTCTTTATTTTCCCTATCTATTTATTCTCAGTAGGTTTGTCTTTCTTTTCTGTCTTACCCAGGCTAGTATGCCATTAAGAGTAGATTTTTCTTTGTCTGTTTAACTCTTTGTAAGTCGTTGGTTTTACTTGAATCTGCTGTATTATTTGATCTTTTGAATCATGTTAAAATATCTACTTAGCTGCATTTTTAAACGGAATTCTTTATGGCATAATTTTATTGTTCTTGATTAGTCCGATACTCTGCAGTTCAAAATTCAAAGGCTTCGTAAGGATCTTGTCTTTTTGGTTGTCACTGTTGCATTGTGCTCTCTTTCTATTGATCTTTTACCATTTTCCCAATGTCAAATGGTGATTTTTACATTGGCAAGTTTGTAATTGACTTGGACCTTAGAATTCAGTATTTTGGAGTGTTTACGGATTCATACTCTTCAGCTCTCAACATCCATGAAAGATTAACTTAAAAAAAACAACCCAAAGACTCCCTCTCAGATCATGGCTGATGACGCGAAAACAAGTGAGGAAAACAAAATTCTCTTCAGAGTATCAGAGTATTGCATTGATAGATAAGTAGTATTTCTTGTGTTCAGTTCTTTTGTGAAGTTAAAAAAATGAGGAGTTTGGAATGTATTTTAGTGGTATTGCTAAAAAGAAAAATGAGCTGTATTGAGCAGATATGAAATTTAAAAACCTTGGTTCTGTCGTTTTCTGAATAATTTTCCTCTTTCAATCCTGAAATGTAACTGCTGTTCCCATCCGCAGTAGAAGACATTCTATATGCAACTGCATTTGTCAAAAGCATAACCCAGCAAATTTATTTACTAGGTAAGGATTTTAAGAGGAGGCCCTCAGAATGTTTTCAGTTCTTAACCTATATGTCCTCTTGGGGTGTGTCAACTACATATATGTTGCACACCTGTTTGTGTGATTTGAGTGATGGGGGAAAGAGTTGTAAGTGATGGGAGCTGAGTGAATATTTGTCTTGTTAAGGAAATTTATCCCCCTATAATTGTATCATATTATTATGAATCTTTTGTACCATAAATATTTCTCTGTTTTTTTCTTTCGGTAAAGTACAGATTTGATTAAATGTTTGTGTCCATATTTGCATTCCTGTGGGCAGAAAAAATCAGGAACTTGTTCCTTGTAAAGGCTTACGTCTGTTATGTTGTCACTTTAGGTGTACAGGCTATTCATAAATAAGTCTGAAAATTTTGGTCTACCATAGCAGAAACATTTAACCATTGTAAAGTTCATTGAAGATGGTAAAAAAGTAATGTACGTTTATAGAGCAGGAATATTTGGAGGGAGGTGACATTGTTGTAACCAATGATGTATATAGAAATTTGTTCATTATTGACTTTTGGTAGTGCAACAAAAGACCTGACTTCAGACTGGCAGAATGCACTATTTGTAAAGCTGTTTGCTTGCCTGAGAGTACTGTTGTGCAAGAACTTCCAGAATCTTTTTGTCTGCCAGACAATTTGTGTTTGGAAATGTGCGTAGTTTTTTTGTATCTTGTGCTTGTATAGAATGACGCGGTGTGAATGCAAAAGATTACCGTGTGGTTCTGGAATACCGTTTGACTAGGATTTTCTTTTTGTTTCATAGGATTAACTTTGCTTTGCCTATCGCTTTGCTGTTTGATCCTATCAGTCATTTCATGAGTATTGTACATGAGTATGTCACATGTTTTTTGTTGTCATTTATATTGTTTGTGTAGAGGCTTTCCAAGGCCTATTGATGGAGTTGGATTGACACTTCAAGCTGTCTTTGGTTCATCTTGTGTTTCTATGTTCTTTTTCTTTAAAAAGTCTGAATTATGGCATTGCACCTTTTTCTTCTATCAGTCTGTCGTTTTTTCCGTCCTTCTGCTTTTTCCTAGCTTGAGTTAGTGTCTACGTGCTTCTCTTTAATTGAAACTCAAATTTTTGGGTGTTTTATCTGATTCCTGTCTTCGACCTTTGTGTGAATGTAAGGAAGCATAGTTTAGTTTATCTCATTTTAGTTTGTAGTTGGAAATTTTATATGACATACTTTACTTGTATATGTACTACTCTTTTTTTCTGTGTTACTGTTGTCCTTATTTGTATCTTATGATGTTTGGCTGTTGTAGTACTGACTTGCCGAAAACATCTCTCCTTTTTTTTAATGCTGCGTTTGTAGTTCTCTCTTTTGGAGCACCTCGGTGGTGCTATGGAACATGCACTCCTGCAAGCTAGCCCTTGTCGAAAGGTGCATTTTGTAATCATTTTTGTTTTGTGGTACGTGCGTCTAACCTGTTGGTTGCACTATTCTTTTTCTCATTTTTAGCTTGAGCATCCACAGGGTAGTTGATCAATGGAGGCATTGAATAAATCTCTTTGTTTTCGTTTCCCGATCAGTAATGTAGTTTCACTGAAGTTGAAAAAGAATGTTATTTTGCAGTTTTTATATTTGCTCCATTCTGTTTCTGTTTGGAGTAGATGGTTGGAAGGTGCTGCTGGTAGGTCTTACTTCATTACTTTTCATCTTTCTCTCTGTCTGTCAGTCTGTCTTGCTTTTTCCCAGAAAAATGATTTCATATGTCAATATGCTTAGTAATTAAATGCACTTCTCACTTTGTCTCAGAGGCATGATAAGATTGTATCATTTCCTGAAAGCATACTATTTTTGAAGAAAGTCATTGCAAGTCTCTCATTTGTTCTATTTCTATACATACATGATAAGTCTTTAGCCATTCTTTTCATTTCAAATTAATCAAAAATGTCTTCAAGATTTATTTGAACATTGTGCAGGCGCCATGTGAACTTTGGAATTCTTTGCTGCTTTACTCATAATATTATATACACAAATCACCAGCATTCTCAATGAGAGTTAATAACTTTGTTGCAAAGGGTGGGTGGATCCAGATAACTACGTCACAGGGCAATTGTTTTTGTGTATCGTTTGTGGTTTGTAAATAAGTCATGTAGTGTAAAGGACATGATGAGAGTGAATATTGGTGTTGGAGAAAGAATTTTAGGTTCAGGACGATCTTGATCATGAAAATGACTGAGTGGGAGTCTTACTTTGACATGTTAGTTCCTTCCAACTGTATTGATTTTGGTTTGTGTAATATCCTGTGCAGAAAACTTTCATTTCAGTTCTCTATTGCTTGACTTTTGGGAAGGATGTCAGAAGACATACTAGTAAGCTGTGTACTTCTTGCTGTTTTAGAAGTATGTTTCACCTACAGTATGAATTATATTTTTTAATTTCCAAAAACGTTGTGCACTAAACACTCCCAAGGCCTATTTTAGCCAGTTTAGTCTGTTTGGTCTCTGTATTCTGCAATGTAAAATCTGTAGGTCTCTATTTATGAGAATAAACGAAAATGTTTAGGTAGGGCTACTGCAAGAATAATGGTGTTTGTGGTAAAACTATCTGTGAATGTTAAGATGATAGGAGCCTTTGGTAACACCATCAATGCAATTGTAATTCATTTATAAATCATGATATTTTTTTTTTCTATGTCTAATTTTCTTATTGGTATATAAAGGGTTTGGGAAGTAACACATGTACATATTATGGTTTGCGTCTGAATATAAGAGTGTGAGAAGAATGGATTGTGTGGGAGAATGTTCTGTGATAGGGATTGCGCCACTCAAATAAAAAAAACTTTTCATCATGAGATATTTGTTTCGTCATTTTCATCTTGTGTGTTTACATAAGTAAAAACTTATTGTGTTGCAAGTGCCGTAAAACTCTTACTAAAACTAAAAAACTAAAACATAAAGAAAAGTTTTAATTTTTATACAAAGCATATTTTGCTTTAGTGGTGGGCTGGAGGATGCCAACATTACAATTTGTATTAAATTTATTGAGGTTTAATTTCTTTTTTTTTCCCCCTCTATTTTTTTCTATATATATGTCGTTCATTCCTCATTCTTTTTCCTTGCCCTAAATTAAATGAGCGTTACTGTATCGATGCCTTTTTCTTTTCATAGAAAATGTGCAGAACGTTTATACCTCGTGGATACTACAATGCTACAACTACTACTACAAGGAAGTCAAAAGTTTCAAGTACGAAATTGGTATAGTAGGAGTGTATGCAAATGTGTACAACTGCACACTGTCATTTCTCCTCTGCTTCACGCTACAGGTGTCTTGTCTTTTGCTTACTTAAACTGAAATTTGTCTCTATTTCTAGTATTTACGCTGTTGCTAACTCAGCAGCCTTAAAGAGAGTGGGACTTTTGGCCAAATGCTGTGGTAAAAAAATATGGAGGTCTTCAAAATTTTGTTTGTTTGTTGCAATTTAGGGTATTGTCTGTGGTCGGGACTGGCGGAAGATTCTTCTCTGATTGAGATTCTGTATTTTGGGACATTCAAAGAACAAATGTTGGACTATTTCGTCGAGTCACGAATCACACTTATTGGTGGAGTTTTTTTCTGGGTTTATTCTGTTTAGGTGATAGCATAGAGGTACAATGTACGTGCTATGAATATGAGGCGGAAATCAGATACTGCTAATTTGAATCTGAATGGGTATGCGTTCCCCACTTCTCTTCCATCCCACTATCCCTCTCGGTTCGGCGGTAAAAGTAAAGGGGGAGGAGGGGGGGGGGCACTGATGGCTCCGTCTTCTTTTCTTTCTCTCTGTTTCTGTATGCCCCTCTTGCTTTTTCCTCGGACCAAAATAATCATGAAAATCTGCCGAACATGAACTTCCGATACACTCCGCTTTTCCTCCAGACGTAATAAAATTAGCGCTACTTTATAAGCGAAGCAGCACAGACTAAAACTTAGCTGTACTGTTTAGCAAGGTGAGTGAAAGACAAAGACTTATCTTCAACCCAGAGGGGCAACTTAACCGATGGAGAGAACTCTTAGATCAAATCTTGAACAGACCACCTCCAGAAAATCAACCTGAAATTCTTCCAGCCAGAAATGACCTCCCAATAGTTATGGAGAGGAAATTGCTACAGCAATACTTTAACTTCGCTGAAGTCCCACAAGACAGCTGGTCCCGACCATATACCACCCAGGCGCGGTTCGTCCATGGAGCACGGTCGTGCAGTGCCGCCCAAAATGTTTTAATGTTCTATGACGTAAAGCACCCACAATAATAAAATAAAAATCGCCAGAAACAAACACTAGCCAAATATTATATCAAAACAAGGCCCTCGCTGGCGCCGTAATCGTCATTTCTATTCTACAGCGCCGTAAAACATCTACTCTGCCATGCCAAAGTTCATGCGCTGTATCTAAATAGAACAGGATAGTCAACAGTGGAAACCTGACCTATAAATCGCTCTTTGGGATAACCCAAGCGATGACGACACTTGTAGAGAGTTTGACGGTACATAGCCCACAGTATGCAGTCTAAAAATAAACGCCATAGACTGCACTATTCCATGCCAAAATTATGTGGGCCCCGGAGCAATCCAGCGGAGTGCTCAAGTGAATTGTGATTGGTTCATAGTCTTGTCGCTATTTTAAGTGACTCTGTGACCGTGAACCTGAGGGGGGTGAACGTGACATACTTAAGTCGCCGTCCTATGAGTTGTACTTTTGAACGGTTTTGTAGTGGAGTGCTGAAAGGTATTACTTGAGTGTTCAGTTCTAATGCAGGATGAATTAAATTGACGTTTAGCTTATAAATAGATTTAGTTCTAGAAGTGAAAAGCCACAAGTAAAAAGAATGAAAATAAAAGCACAACGTCTTCCTTCACCAACCCAAAGATCCTAAAATTATACACCATCCCATTTACTCTGCCCTTGATTATCTTCAGCCTAAGATAGCTTAATTGTGCACGCCCACTTTTTAGACCCACGAGCCGCCCCTGATACCACCAGAAGCCCTTAAGGCAGATAAAGATACATCAGTGGAAATTGTCTATGCTTTATTCGAAAAGGTTTGGCGAGAAGAGGAAATACGATCAAACTGGAAGGCCACCTAATCAAGCTGCCAAAGAAGGGAGACATCAGCAACTGTGACAGCTACAGGGGCATAACACTCCTGTCCATACCTGGAAAAGTCTTTCAGGATACTCCTGGAGAGAATCAAGCTGGCAACAGATGAGAAGCCCCGAGGAAACCAGGCAGGATTCCGCAAAAACCGATTATGTGTGGACCAGATCACTACTCTGCTCACCACTCGTGGTCAACTTAATTGATTATGAAAAGGCGTTCGACAGCGTGGACATGGAAACTTTGTGGAAACTCAAGCGGCATTTTTGGAATACCTGACACAATCGTCAAGCTTGTGAAGGCCACCTATGATGGAACAAACTGCCAAGTCTTGCTCTCAAGTGCATTGCTGTGTCGATGTCATCTAACTACTTGAGTATGTGAGACATTAACCCAGCGTCTGAGGTCCCAACTCTATGACTATGGTGAAGAGATAGCGATTAAGTGCGCAGATACGCTCAGATAGCGGTTCCATGCCCCCCTCCCCCAACTTTTTCCTCTTTAAAAAAATGTACGGAAATTTTCAGAGCAGCGCTATTTTCCTGAGCTCAAAGTGCTTGTCAACTCTTACTCTTAGGGTCCCTTTACGTTTCATTCATCAACAAACTGACTGTTTAACCGACAGACATTAAATCTGGGTCATTGTTGAACTGAAAGTTTGTCGACGAGAGAAATTAGACGTAGTTTTTTTTATCCTTATCCTTAAAGTGTCAGTCCTTGACAAAACACACAAAAGACACATGAACAAACAACCCCCTCCACCCCAAAAAGAAAAAAAAATGGAAATCCGGCATTAAATTGTGTTCCGCGCGTAATTTTGACTATATTTGGGTCGCCGATCACGAAAATCTTTTTTAAAATAATTTTTGTTTGACCAATTTTTAGGAACATTTTGGAATGCATTTTCAACTCCGCGAAGGGCAACATCAAAGAAGCCGCTGCCTCGTCGTCTGGCCTTCAGCTCACCTGTCGGAAATATATCTGGTGGCTGGACTGAGAACCCTTCGATATAATTATAATATCGAGAGGATTTCTCGTTTCCACGCTCAGTTTTACCGGGAAGTTGACGGGATCCCCGCCATCATTTCGATATCCTACAGTTTGTCGATCAATGAACTGCACGTGTAAATGGGGCCTAAGTGGCTGAAAACCATCTTTTCGTCTTTTCAAAAGTAGGAAAAAGCACAGCTAATTTTGAGATGATTGTCTTTTCTTTTGGATTGGGATTTTGCCTTTCTTTCATAATAATAGGCGCATTGTTTTGGTACATCCCTAAATGCTCGAGTTCCATGAGTATTATCTGTTCTATCGACGTTAGGTACGTGTATATCTTTACCTGACAATGCAGCCGCGCTTGAAGATTAAAAACGAATGGGTCGCCCCCGAAGAAACAAACACTTGTTTGTCACATGTCGTGCTACATAGATCTAGTTGTGTACATTCATGCTTTGATTTACTTGCGTGTCCACACTTCTCTCCTGCATAAAAAAGTGAACAAAACACTTTTTTTTCTAAGGAAGCTAAAGTATTTTAAAGTTGATAAAACATTGATGTCCATGTTCTACCATTCAACCATAGAAAGTATGATCAATTTTTGTATAACATTAACAGCATGGGCCGGGAACACAAGACAACAAGATAAAGAAACATTAAATAGACTAATACGGAAAGCATGTAAAATTTCAACATCTACATTCCCCTACTTGGATGAATTGTACATAACAGTTACTGTCCTCAGAGAAAGTTGCTTTTGAAAGTATCAAAAGTTGCAAAAAGTTGCAAGAAAAATTAGCAAAAGTTGCAA